ACAAATCCAACGTGGCTTTGGGTCCTCCTTTCTTCCAAGTGCCACATCTGTGGTGAATATCCCAGGGCTGTGCACACATCCTTTTCTCTGCTTTTTAAAGCTTTCTAAAGATGGCTTTGTGATTATTTTTCCTCCTGCCTGGTTTTTCAACACCCACAACAGCAGGATTCAATCTTTCCCTTTCCATTTCTGATCCCTGCAGCAATCCTGAGGGACGTTTAGGACAAGGGCTGAACCAGAACAAGACAAGTCAATATTGACTTTGACTCCTATCTTCAAAGTTTCATCTTTTCCACAACAGCTGGACAAAATAAGTTTGGAACTCGTGGAATTGGAGTCCCTCAGGAATGTTTGGATAAGCAGGATTGGGAATGCACAGCTGAGAGTGAGGTTTAAAACCTGGTTTGTTCATCCAGCTGTGTTCAGCCTCTGCAGATCCCACACTTCCCTTCCTTGGCAGGCTGCCCACGCCTGAGAAATTCCCAAGAGGAAAAATTCCTAGCTGTAGCTGTGTCCCTGAGCAATGGCTCTGAGGGGCTGAGGAAAAATGGGACAAGCCAGAGGATCCAGCCAAGGATGCCAAACACAACCTGCAGGACAGCCAAGAGATTTCCAGCTATTGCTGAGACCTCCAAGCAGTGTTTCCAGATTTACCATCCTGGGAGAGCTCCTGGCTTTGCATCAAAGTCAAGAACAGGCAACGAGGCTGGAGAGGGGCTGGAACACCAACCCTGAGAGGAAGCCCTGAGGGAGCTGGGGGTGCTCCCCTGCAGAAAAGGAGACTCAGGGCTGCCCTCAGCACTCTGCACAGCTCTGAAAGGTGCCTGTGCTCAGCTGGGCTGGGCTCTGTCTCCAGCAGCACTGACACAGCCACAGCACACAGTCCCGAGCTGTGCCAAGGGAAATTCAGGCTGGGTGTCAGGAAAAAGCTTTTCCAGCAAGGGGATAAAGCTCTGCCATGGCTGCCCGGGGAGGTGCTGCAGTCACCATCCCTGGGGGTGTTGAACAAGCCTGGATGTGGCACTGGGTGCCAGGCTCTGGCTCAGGGCTTGGGCTGGGCTGGACTCCGTGGGCTGCAAGGTCTCTCCCAACCTGCTTGTTCTGTGATCAGGTCTGGCTCTCCCAGGCTTTGCTCCCAAAATCTCTGGGGCAATCCCACTTTAAAGGATTTTACACCACTAAAACTGAGTGATCCTTGGGTTGTTTGTTTCCAAGAAGCATAAAGGAAAAGAAAGGAATTCTGGAGAATGAAAACCATAGAGCTGGAAAGATCATCTGGTCCAATCTCCTGTGGGAAAAGGACCTGGCACGAGGCTGTTCAGCACCTTGAGCAGCCACACCCTGAAACCCTCCAGGGACTCCACCACATCCCAGGGGAGGCTGTTCCAGGGAATGATGGCTTCACTGGAAAAAATGTCTTTTTTCCATTGGGATGAACCTTCCCAGTGCTCCTTGTCCCCACTGCTCCTCATCCTCTCCACGTGAAGGGAGACCATCCATCCTTTAAGGACTGGAAAACTCCAGAGAGGTTCCACCTGAGCCCTCCCTTCTCACAGAATCATGGAATAGAATGCCAGGATGGTTTGGGTTGGAGAGGACCTTAAGGATCATCCCATTCCATGGGCAGGGACACCTCCCACTGTCCCAGGGTGTTCCAAGCCTCATCCAACCAGGCCTGGGCACTGCCAGGGATCCAGGGGCAGCCCCAGCTGGAAAAGAATCCTGAAAAGTTTGGAAGAAAATTTAAGAGAATTGGGAATTTAGAGAATTGGGAAGGAAAGAAAACCTGGAAATTTTGCAGGAAAACTGGAAAGTGAAGAATGAAACCTGACAAGTCTGAAGGAGAACTGGGAGCTAAGAAAACAAACCTGGGAACTCTGGAAGAGAACTGGGAGTAGGAAAAGAATCCTTGGGAATTTACAGAATTGGGAAGGAAAGAAAACCTGGAAATTTTGCAGGAAAACTGGAAAGTGAAGAATGAAACCTGACAAGTCTGAAGGAGAACTGGGAGCTAAGAAAACAAACCTGGAAACTCTGCAAGAGAATTGGTAAATGAGAAAAGAATCCTGAAAAGTTTGAAAGAAAATTTAGGAGAATTGGGAAGAAAAGAAAACCTAGAAATTCTGCAGGAAAACTGGGAGGTGAGGAATGAAACCTGACAATCCTAGAAGAGAACTGGGAGTTAGGAAAATAAACCTGGAAACTCTGGAAGAGAATGGGAGCTCAGGAACAAATCAGGTTGGAGGAAATGGAATGAGGGGGAAAAAATTCCTCTCCCAATGGTTATGTAAGGGCTGCTGCTGGAGCTCTATAAATAGGACCTTCACAGGTGTCAAAGTGGGGGAAAACTCCAAAAATCCGGGGTTTTTTTGGGCTGGCAGCCAGTCTGGGGTTGATTCAGGCTGGTTGAAGTGGCCAGGCTGAGCTGGGCAGGGGCAGGGAGGGACAGAAGCCGTGCAGGAGCAGCAGGCTGCAATTCCCACCCGCTCCAGCCTCCCCTCAAATGCAGCCAGGGGAGAGAAGCAGGGCTGTGGTGCCAAAAATGGCATTTCCAGGGAAGGAAGAAAGGAAATGGGGCTGAGCATTTGCCCAAAAATAGAAGGTGTGGAGCCACTCAGCAAATTCCCAGTGCTGCTGGGAGAGGCTGGAAGGCTGAGCCCAGAGCGTGGCGTGTGGGAAATGGATTTACAGGGAAAAGATGGATTTCTAGGGAGAAGAGAAGGCAGCTTTCAGGGATGGCAACGTGCATGGAAAAGCCATTCCCAGCTGCTGTTGGTGCTGCCAGCCCTGAGGGGCTTCGTGGCCCACGTGGATCGAGGGATGGGAGTGGCAGGAAAGGATTCCTGGGAGATGCAGCTCAAGGTCAGGAGGAGCTTCAGGGAGAAGGAAAAAAGGGATATTGCCACAGCAGCTGGGAGTTCACACAGCCTGTGGCTGTCCCAGGGCTGCAGAACTTCCCAGTCTTGTGATCCCAGGGCAAGCTCAGCCTCCTCCTGGAATATTTGGGGGGTTTTGGGGTGACAGACATGCAGAAATGATGGAATAACCCTTCAGCACCCAGCCTTGCTAGGAGACAGGTGGAATTGTACCAGGGAAAAATTCCCACTTTGTCACACCCCAGGCAGGATGTCCCCTCCCAGGACTGTGGGGATGTCCCCAAAGCCCCCAGTACACTGGGACTGCAGAGTGGGGGGCTGCCAGGGGTCCCCTGGGTGATCCCTGTGGGACACCCCAATCCCCACAGCCACGGGGATGAACAGCTCATGGGGGCCCAGGGAACCACTGGGCTGGGGAACCCTACACCGGGTAACCTTAAATCCATTTTTAAAAGGATAACTGCCCCTCCATCCCTGATTCCAGGTCCCACAGCCTGGGATCACCGGGATGGGAACAGCCCAGCTCCCCCCACACCACGCCCGGCTTTGGGGACAGGGGCACCCCGTTATTCCCGGTCTGTCTGGGTACCCAGCTCCCCCCGGGAATGTCCCCGAGGCAGGGACAGCTGTCCCCTCGGGGCCTTGGGTGTCCCTGTCCCCTCAGGACCTTGGGGACGGCGGTGTCCCGGTCCCCGACCCCGGAGACGGGGGTGCCCCAACCCCGAACCCCTCATGGCCTTAGAAACGGGGGTGTCCCGGTCTCGGTCCCCCTGAGATGGGGGTGCTTCGCACCCCGACCCCTCGGAGCCCTCAGGGTCGGGGCTGTCCCGGTCCCGAACCCCTTCATGGCCTTGGGGTCGGGGTCATCCCCGGCGCCGGCCGCCACTCACCCGCCGCCCGCGGCCTGCCCGGCAGCTGCACGAAGCGGTTCAGGATCCCTCCCCCGCTGCCATCGCCGCCTCCCGCGGCGCCGCCCGCGCCCTCCCCGAGCCCGTCCCGGGCCGCGGCCGCCGCCGACATGGCCCGTCCGCTGCCTGAGGGACGGAGCGCGAACCGCCAATCAGCTCCGAGCTTCTTCGGCCGCAGCCTATCAGCTGCGGGCTTGTTGGCAGGCGGGGGGAGGCTGCGGCGAGAGCGCCGCTGTGGGGAGAGCTGAGCGATCGATCCAGGCTGGAGCAATAGAGCGCCGAGAGCGGGGGCGAGGGGACATTCCCGGGGACATTCCCGGGGCCACTCACGGGGACATTCGCGGGGACTTCCGCGGGGGCGCCGGCGCCCCTGGAGCCCTCCGCGAAGTTCCGGAGGCCGTGCGGGGGTTGCGCGAGGGTCATGAGCGGCCCCGCGGCGCGAGCGGAACGTTGGTGCGCGAGCGGAACGTTGGTGCGCGAGCGGAACGTTCGTGCGGGCCCGCGTTTCCCGGGCCCTGACGGGAGGGTGGGACCAAAATGGCGGCGCCCAGCGCCGGGGGAGCGGCGGCGGCGGCGGCCGGGGGGAACCGAGGGCGGCCGCCCCCCGTCACCCCCCGGCAGATCCGCGACCTCATCGACGGCGGCATCGCCACCGAAGGGCCCGGGCCCGGCGGGTGAGGGCCAGCGGCGGGGGGGATCGCCGGCACCGGGCTGGAGTCGGGGGGAGGCCCGGCCGTGTGAGGGGAGGGGGAGCGCTGGGGGCTCGGGAGGGAATCGGGGACCCCTCGGTGTTATTTGGGGTCTGCGGGGGAGTCGGAGTCGGCGGGAGCGAGGCGGGAGGGGACTGGGAGGTGCTGGGAGTTGTTATTGGGGAGGGATAGCGGGAATGGAGAGCGGGGAATGAGCTGGGAGCACCGGGAAGCGGGCTGCTGGGAGCGGGGGGCACTGGGGGGGCTGAGGGGCTCTGGGAGTGCTGGAGAGACTCGGGGACACTGGGAGTACTGGAAGGAAGCGGTGGAAACAGGTATTGGGACACTAGGAGGGTACTGGGAGGGTACTGGGGGCACTGGGAGGGGACTGGGAGCACCGGGAGGATATTGGGGGCACTGGGAAGTTACTGGGAGGGTCCTGGGGGCACTGGGAGGGTACAGAGGCTACTGGGGGCACTGGGAGGGCACTGGGGTTACTGGGAGGGCACTGAGGGCACTGGGAGGGTACTGAAGGTACTGGGAGGATACCGAGGGCACTGGGGTTACTGGGAGGCACTGGGAGCAGTGGGGGCTGAGCTTTGGGGGTGTCTCAGGGGCTCCCAACCATCCCTGAGCTTTGGCTCAAGATTCAGGCGTTGGGAGGAGGCCAGAGGCAGCCGTGGGGGCAGAATTCCAGGCACAGATTTTGGGAATTATTACAAAATTACAAAAATGTAATCTTGGGAACACCCCAGACTTCCCTCCTCAGCCTGCCCTTGCTGGGCCCAGGGGACAAACCCCTGCTCCCTCCTTGTCCCCAATGCCAGCTGTCACTGGGGATGCGTTCCAGGCACCCTTGGAATTTTATTTGTTGGTTGTTTTATCAGGAATTAATTCCAAGTTGGGAATGGGGAGCCCTGGAGAAGATCCTTGTCAGGACAAGAGGGATGGGGGGTTAGGAAGTGCTCTGTGCTTTGGTGTTAATCCTGTTCCTAAAATCCAGCATTTTCCCCAAATCCTGCCTTTTGCCAAAATCTGGTCTCTCCCTAAAATCCAGCTTTTTCCTAAATCCAAACTTTTCCTAAAATCCAACATTTCCCCAAAATCCTGCCCTTTGCTAAAATTTGGTCTCTCCCTAAAATCCAAGCTTTTACCAGATCCAACCTTTTCCTAAACCCTGTTCTTTGCTGAAATCCAGGCTCTCCCTAAAATCCAACCTTTTCCTAAAATCCAACATTTTCCCAAAATCCAGTCTCTCTCTAAAATCCAGCCTTTTCCTAAATCCAACCTTTTCCTAAACCCAGTCTCTCCCTAAAATCCAGCCTTTTCTTAAATCCAGGTTTTTCCTAAATCCAGCCTCTTCCTGAAATCCAGCCTTTTCTTAAAATCCAACTTTTCCCTGAAACCCAGCCCTTTCCCAAACCCAGCCTTTCCCAAAACCCAGCCTTCTCCAAAACCCAGCCTTTCCCAAAACCCAGCCTTTTCCAAACCCAGCCTTCCCCAAAACCCAGCTTTTCCCAAACCCAGCCTTCCCCAAAAACCAGCTTTTCCCAAACCCAGCTTTTCCCAAACCCAGCCTTTCCCAAACCCAGCTTTTCCCAAACCCAGCCTTTTCCAAACCCAGCCTTCCCCAAAAACCAGCTTTTCCCAAACCCAGCTTTTCCCAAACCCAGCCTTTCCCAAACCCAGCCTTTCCCAGGAGTTTTCCTTGCAGACTTTTCCTTTCAGGAAGGACACGTCGGACTGCTCGGAGCAAGCCAATGGACCTTCCCAAATGGAAGCTCTTTCCTTGGAATCTGCCAGCAGGGAAGCCTATTTCAGCAGAGTGGAAACATTCACCATATCCTTTGGGATGCTGGAAATTCCAGCTTGGGAATTGTGGGGGAAGAGCCAGAGGCATCTTCCCCCACAATTCCTGTCCCGAAATTCCACCCTGTCCCTGAGAGTTGTCCAAAGGCTCCTGGAGCTTTGGAGCTGTCCCTGGGGAATGCTCAGTGCCCCAGCACCCTCTAGGGAAGAGCCTCTTCCTAAAATCTAGGTCCTTCCTAAAATCCAGCCTTTTCCTAAATCCAGCCTTTCCCTAAAATCCCACCTTTGCCTAAATCCAGCCTCTTCCTGAAGTCCAACCTTTTCCTAAAGTGCCACCATTTTCTAAAATCCAGCCTTTTGCAAAATCCAGCTATTTCCTATAATCCAACCTTTTTGTAAGATCCAGCCATTTCCTATAATCCAAGCTTTTCCTATAATCCAACCTTTTCGTAAAATCCAGCCTTCTCCTATAATCCAAGTTTTTCCTATAATCCAAATTTTTCCTATAATCCAAGCTTTTCCTAAATCCAACCTTTTCCTATAATCCAAGCTTTTCCTATAATCCAACCTTTTTGTAAGATCCAGCCTTTTCCTATAATCCAACCTTTTCCTATAATCCAAGTTTTTCCTATAATCCAACCTTTTTGTAAGATCCAGCCTTTTCCTATAATCCAAGCTTTTCCTAAATCCAGCCTTTTCCTGAAATCCCACCTTCTCCCCAAATCCAGCCATTTCCCAAATCCCGCCTAATCCTGTTCCTAACCTCCTGCCGTTCCCCGTGCTCCCACCCTGCTCCCTGTCCCTGTGCTTCCCATCCTGATGAAGCTGCAGCCCGCTCCCAGCTCTCCCTGTCTGGGAGCGTTCCCCCAGCCCGTAAATCCCGGGAATTGTGGCTCTGGCTCCTTGACGGGCGCACCCTCTGCGGTGGGCGGGCAAGCCGCCGGCGCTGTCGCCGCTGGTGTGCGCGCGCTTCGGCTGGGTCAGCGTGGAGTGCGACATGCTGCGCTGCTCCAGCTGCCAGGCCTACCTGTGCATGAGCCTGCAGCTCGCCTTCGACCTCAGCAGCTGTGAGTGGGGCTCAGCAGCTCGGGGTTGGGGGATTTTGGGGCGGTGGGATCTCGGGGTGCAGCGGATTGCGGGGCGGGGAGGTTGGGGTGGCTGGAAAGCAGCTCGGGGCAGATGGGGGGTGTTTAGTTGGGATGGGATAATCAGTCCTGTTTGGTGTGGGGGAGTTCCAGCTGGGAGAGGTCCTGGAATTGTCAGGAGTGTGGGTTGGGAGGGGTCTTAAAGCTCCTCGTGTTCCGTCCTGGTGTCCAGGGAATGCTTGCTGGAATTCCTTGCCACAGGATTCCAGGGAGAAGAGCTCAGCACTTCCCTCCTCCAGAAGGTGCAGAGCTCACCCCTCATCCTCCTTTTCTCCAAACAATCCCAAGGCTCTCAGCCTCTTCCCAGGTTTTCCAGCCATTTCTCCAGCCTCGTTGCCCTCTGGATGCATTTAAGGATTTGAAAATCCTTTAAAAATTACCTTTTCTTTCCCAATTCCTGGATCTGCTTCCTTTATCCTCCACTGAGTTTTTCCAATGTGGAAAAATTTCTTGGTGGTTGCTGCTCACCAAAGCCATTCAGGCAGAAATTACATTGTGAGATTTAATTAATGAACTCCTTATTATCCCACAAGGCAGTGTCATCCCCACTTCTCAATTTTCCTGGCTGCAGTTCCCCTGGAAGTGGACAGGGAGCACATTCCTGCTGCCTGCCAGGGGCTGCCATGTGGGAATACTGAGCCTTTCCTTTTGGGTCACTCAATATCAACATTCCCTATTTATTCAGATTATCTCTGTTAAATAAACCTTGGCCTAATTATTCCACTGGAAATCATGGGTTAGAAAAATCTAAAATAATCAAACATTGGGAAGAAGGCATCGAAAAACAAATTGAAAAAGAAATTATTTGTAAGTGAAATTAAATGTCGGATCTTTTTTTTTTCCTTTTCTTTTTTTGGGAAGTTTGATTTCCAGACATGGCTGGGATTTGGCTCCTTCAGCCAGGGTGGAGGGATCAGCTCAGCAAGGGATTGGCAGCATCCCAGGAGGAAAAACTGGCAGGATCCAGCAGGTTTTGTGCCCGTGGTTGGCTTGGGCTGTTTTTCCACAGGCTGCCCTGCTCCTGTGCTGGGGAAAGGGAGGGATTTTGGCAGTGGGCAGGTGGAACTGCTGAGGTGACATTTGCTCTTCCTGAGGGAGCCTGAAATTCCTCTTGGTGGGAAAAGGGGGAAAGTCTGATGTTGGAATCCTGGATGCTGAGAATTTTGAGCTTTCTGTGCTGAAAGGCACATAAAGTTTTAAAATCTCAGCATCCAGGATTCCAACAGTGTGAGGTGAAGCTCCAGGCTGTGCAGCCTCCAGCCTCAGGCAGAATCCTGGGAAAGCATCCCAGGGAAACTCTGCCACCACCTGGCTTGGCTTTCCTGGCCCTTCCCTGGCTGTGCAGGGAAGTATCCCAGAGTTTTTCCCTGCAGACAAAGAACGCTGTGAGGAGCTCAGGAAGGCCCTGAGCACTGCCCACGAGAAGTTCTGCTTCTGGCCAGACAGCCCCTGCCCAGGTGGGTGCCTCAGATTCCTGCAATATTCCCATTTTTGTTCCCCTTTCCATTGTTGTTCCTGCCATCACACTCTCCTTTTCCCTGTGGGAATGATGGAATACAACAGGAAAGCAACATCCCTGAGCAGCCTCAGCAAATGAAAGCCCCAGGGCTGTATCCAGCTTTTCCTGACCTTTGGGTGCCTCTGGAGCAGTTAAAATGCTTTTGGGTTGTGACTGGGAGGGAGGCTGGGTGTCATGGAATGCTCAAAGAGGGATAGATCCTGTCTTGGGAGCTCTGCTGCTTGGGAAAGCTGTGAAGGGAAAAGGCTGTGCTGAGCTTTTCCTTTAAAAGCCAGGAAAATAATCATGGAATTGTTGGGGTTGGAAGGGACCTCAGAGCCCCATCAGTGGCAGGGACACCTACCACTGTCCCAGGCTGCTCCAAACCCCATCCAGCCTGGCCTTGGACATTGCAGGGATGCAGGGGCAGCCCCAGCTGCTCTGGCAATTCCAGCCCAGCCAGGAATTCCTCATTCCCAATATCCCACCTAAACTTTTCCTCCTTGAGCTTAATGTCACTCCCTCTTACCCCATCACTGCATTTACAAGGAGCCTCTGGCTGGGCTGGTGCCCTGCCTTTCCCTGTGGGATGAGGAGGGGTTGGGAATGCTGAGCAGAGCTCTTGCCCTCCCCAGATCGCTTTGCCAGGCTGCTGGTGGACGAGCCCAGAGTCCTTCTCCAGGACTTCCTGGATCGCTTCCAGAGCCTGTGTCAGCTGGAGCTGCAGCTGCCCTCCCTCAAACCAGAAGACCTGAAAAACATGGTGAGTTCCCTCCTGCTCCCAAAATCTGCAGCATTCCAGGCTCCAGGGATGAGCCTGAGCCCACCCAAAATCAGGAATTTCAGCCTGTGTGTGTGGGAGGGATCTGCTCCCACCTTGGTTTTTTTCCCTGGACATTCCCCATGTGGTGGTTCCACCATGGAAACGTGTCAAGAGGAGTTTGGAATGGCTCATCAGCTGGGAAGTGTGTCTGGTTCCTCCCACTCTGGACCTTTCCCTGTGTCCAGGCTGCTCTGTGGGGCTTGGGAGAGGGGATTTGGGATCCCACAGACTCCTTTGGGAGCTCTCCCTGGCAGCTCCAGCACTCCATGAGAAGGGGCAGCCCACGGATCCCTCCTTTAGCTGGCATGTCTGGAGACAGGAATTTGGGGCTGCCACCCTGAACCTGAGGTGTGGGCAGAGACCTGGGAAGGTGAAGGAGTCTGAGGAGTCTCCACAAGCAGGAAAAGCCAGGAACAAGTGTGGAATTGTCACCCTGCAGGAACATGTCACGGCCCTGCTCTGCTGCAGTCAACTCTGGCTGGTTGGACACTCCTTTGCCAGGGAACAGATGGCTCTGGGCAGCCAGGAGCTGTGTGGGATCCAGGGAACCTTCATCCATTCAGCACAAGCACAGGGGTGTTTAGGGCTGGCTGGGCTCAGACAGCACCGGAGACTCCCGAAGGCACGGCAGGAATGGGAGCTGCTCCTCTGCTCTGGGAGCAGATGGTGCCTGGGCACATTTCATGGAATGGGGAGCCAGGGGCAGGGAGGATGGCTCTGAGTGGCTTTTCCCTGTTAACCAGAGCTGGGAGTGCTGGCCAGTGCAATTCCAGGGGGTGCCAAAGGGATTGTTCTCCACGTGGGATGTGATTTAGGAGTAAAACCATTTATCCCTGTGCTCCGCAGTCCCTGACAGAGGAAAGGATCACTCGGCTCCTGCAGCTCATTGGGGAGGAGCTGGAGCACAAAGGAACAGAGGGAGAGAAGCCTCCTGGGAAGTTTTCCACGGAAATCCTGCAGGTGCAGGTTCCTGCCTGTATCCTGGCACTGTGTGGCTGGACCTGCAGGTGGGCAGGGCTGCAGGGCTGGGCCTGGAATGTCCCTCACGCTCTGGGCTGGCCATGGAAGCTCTTGGAGGCTGGAGGGATGTGGAATGTTCCTCCCGTGGAATGTTCAGTATCCCTTTTTTCACTCTTTTCCCTCTTTTTCACCATGCTTCTGCCTACCTGATTTTATTTTCCCATTTTCCCTCTTTTTCACCACTCCTCCGTTTCCTTTGTTGTCACTATTTTCCTATTTTCCCTCTTTTTCACTAGGATCCTGCTTCCCTTATTTAGCCATTTTCCCACTTTTCCACTACATTCCCACTTCCCTTATTTTACCACTTTTTTCCCTCTTTTCCCCCTCTGTTCCTGCTTCCTGGCAAGGCAAAACACAACTGATCCAGTTTTAATCAACATCATAAATGGGATTCAATGGACTTATGTCCCTGACTTTTCCAAGCCCAGGTTTATCCCTGGCCACCTCTCCTGACTTTCCCCAACCCTGGAAATGTCCAAGGCCGGGTTGGACAGGGCTTGGAGCAACCTGGGGTAGTGGGAGGTGTCCCTGCCCATGAGGGGTTGGAACGAGATGAGCTTTAAGATCCCTTTCAACACATCCTGTGATCCCATGAGGATTCCCATGAGGATCCCATGAGGATCTCATAAGGACCCCATGAAGATTCCATGAGGATCCCATGATGATTCCCATGAGGATTCCCATGAGGATCCCATGAGGATTCCCATGAGGATCCCATGAGGGTCCTATGAAGATTCCATTAAGATCTCCATGAGGATTCCCATGAGGGTCTCATGATGATTCCCGTGAGGATCCCATGAGGGTCCCATGACTTGGCTCTGTCCCTGCAGTGCTGCCTCGGGCTCCATGAACCTCTCGGTGATCACCTGCTCCCGCTGCATGAGGAAGGTGGGGCTGTGGGGCTTCCACCAGCTGGAATCTGCTGCAGCTCCAGAGCTGGATTCCTGTGGCTCCAGCAGCACCACCCCGGCTGCTCCCGAGCGCTTCCCGCCCGTCCCCACGTCCCCACGCAGGATGCTGACACGGAGCCAGGACCCAGGATCCGAGCAGGTACACCCTGGGGTCTCTGGGCAGGGCAGGGACACTTGGCCAGCTCCAGGAGCTCCAGAACCCTCATCCACGTGTGTCCAGTGACATTCCTCATCCCTTTCTGGGCAGGGACACTCGGCCAGCTCCAGGAGCTCCAAATTCCTCATCCACATGTGTCCAGTGACATCCCTCATCCCTTTCTGGGCAGGGAGACTTGGCCAGCTCCAGGAGCTCCAGATCCCTCATCCACATGTGTCCAATGACATCCCTCATCCCTCTCTGGGCAGGGCAGGACACTTGGCCAGCTCCAGGAGCTCCAGATCCTTCATCCAAATGTGTCCAATGACATCCCTCATCCCTCTCTGGGCAGGGCAGGACACTTGGCCAGCTCCAGGAGCTCCAGAACCCTCATCCACATGTGTCCAGGGGACATCCCTCATCCCCCTCTGGGCAGGGACACTTGGCCAGCTCCAGGAGCTCCAGATCCCTCATCCAAATGTGTCCAATGACATCCCTCATCCCCCTCTGGGCAGGGACACTTGGCCAGCTCCAGGAGCTCCAGATCCCTCATCCAAATGTGTCCAATGACATCCCTCATCCCCCTCTGGGCAGGGACACTTGGCCAGCTCCAGGAGCTCCAAATTCCTCATCCACATGTGTCCAGTGACATCCCTCTCTGGGCAGGGCAGGGATACTTGGCCAGCTCCAGGTGCTCCAGATCCCTCATCCACATGTCCAATGGACATTCCTCATCCCTCTCTGGGCAGGGAGACTTGGCCAGCTCCAGGAGCTCCAGATCCCTCATCCACATCCAGTGGACACATCCATGTGGTGGGAAGGGCTCCTGTGGGGTGGCTGAGGAGGACTGGAGCAGGACAAGGCCCCCTTGCTGAGCAGAGGAGCTCCATGATCCCGTTTTTGCCCCAGCAGCACGAGAAGAGCCCATCCCCAGCCATGGCCCGCCCCCGGGGTTGGGATTCTCCCAGCTCCATGGACAGGGGCGAGTTGGATGTGAGCAGCCCCGCTCTGAGGAGCCGCCCCGTGACCCGGAGCATGGGACAGGGGGACACCATGGAAGTGCCATCCAGTCCCGTGCGCAGGGCCAAGCGGGCACGGCTCTGCTCCTCCAGCAGCTCGGTGAGTGCTCCGGGCAGGGTGCTCCTGATCCAGGGGTTTGTGTTGTCCCTGGAGCCTGCTCAGGGCTGGGGTTTGGGCACAAAGAAGGTCTCTAAAGCATCCCGTTGTCGTGTCCCTTCTCTGTCACCTCCTTGCTTCCAGGACACTTCCTTGAGGAGCTTCTTTCACCCCAGCTCTCAGCACCGTGATTGGTGTCCCTGGGTCAGCACTGGGGAGGCAGAGGAATCCCTGGAGGATGCTGCATCCCAGACAGAGAAGGAGCCTGGGAAGGCCAAGCCAGGCTGGGAAGTGGTGCTGAAGAGGCTCCTTGGCATCCAAAAATGTGACACAGTGCCCGAAACAGAGCCAGTGGTGAGCATGGGGCATCCCAGCTTGTCCAGGCAGCAAAAATTTGGGATGGGTGGGCTTTGTTTGGGATCAGTCCCAACCAGGTGACAAGGACCAAGCTGCAGAGCATGAGCCCTGGCATTCCCACAGCCAGGCTCCATCCAAGGCTGGGCTGTGCTGGAGCTGCTCGAGGGCTGCTATAAATAACAGTGCTGCCCAAGATCCGGTTTCATTCCGTGTCCCCAGAGCTCCTCTCTGCAGCCATCCCAACTCCTGCCTCCAGCCTCTTGGGGTGCCAGGTTTGCTGAGGCCACAGCTCCCTCCCCATGTGGCTGTGGGGCAGCTGCTGCCTCCCTGGATCTCATTATCCACTTGGATTCCTCCTGCCAGCTCCTTCCTGCCTCGCTTGGAGCTCAGGGGAGCGGTGGAGCATTCCCCCTTCAGCATTTGTCCTGGGCCTTTTGTGTGATTTGTGTCCCCAGCAGGTCCCTTCTAGTGGAAGGTGTCCCTGCCACAGCAGGGGGTTGGAACTGGGTGATCTTTAAGGTCCCTTCCAACCCAAACCATTCCATGAGTCCATGACTCTGCCATGTGCCAGGAAAGCTCCAGATGGTCCAGCAGGACCAGTCACAAGTCAGAGGCACCAGACCCCTTCCTGCTTTTTGGAGCCCCTTCTTGCTTTTTGGGTTCCCTTCCTGCTTCTTGTGATCCTTTCCTGCTTTTTGGGGTCCCTTCCTGCTTTTTGGGGTCCCTTCCTGCTTTTTGGGATCCTTTCCTGCTTTTTGGGATCCTTTCCTGCTTTTTGGGATCCTTTCCTGCTTTTTGGGATCCTTTCCTGCTTTTTGGTGTCCTTTCCTGCTTTTTGGGGTCTCTTCCTGCTTTTTGGGTTCCCTTCCTGCTTTTTGGAGTTCCCTTCCTGCTTTTTGGAGTTCCCTTCATGCCTTTTGGGGTCTTTTCCTGCTTTTTGGGGTCCTTTCTGGCTTTCTGGGGACCTTTCCTGCTTCTTGCTTGTAGTCTCCTTATTCTCCCCTCCTGGCAAATTGGGACCACAAAAATCAAGCACAAACTGCAGTCCTGGCAGCCAGCTGGGATATTTTGGATGTTTTTTCCCTGCAGTTTCTCCTGCTGCCCTTTGCCAGCGGCAGCTGCACTTCCTGCTCCGGCGCCTTGACCTGTCCCTGCTGCTTTGCTCCCATCTTTTCCAGAGCCTCTCGGAGAAATCCTGCAAGGTGTTCCGCATTTTCCGGCAGTGGGAGAGCATGAATTCCTCCTGAGCACGTGGAGAGCAGCACGGGGAGAGCCCCAGAGCTCTGCGCGGCTCCTGCGGCAGCTCCGTGCCGCGGGCAGGGCACCGGGGCAGCTCCCTGCCCCTTCCCTGGCTGCTGCCTTGCTGAAGCCTTCACAAACTGCTGCTCTGTCCCTCCCTGGGGGCTGCCACTGGAGCTGGGATGAGCTCTTGGGCCTGTGGGGTGACAAAGGGGACGCTGTCACCTCTCCCGGTGGCCGTGGCGCCGGCAGCGCACGGAAGTGACGCCAGGTGGGAATAAACATTTCATTTTTGTTGTTTTTTTTTTCTTTTTCCTTCCTGCTGCCGTGGTGCTTTTGGGTAGGAGGAGCTCTGGACCTGATGTGGCTCCCATATCCCTCAGGATTCTTGTCCTTATGGCCTCCCTGTTTCCCACTCCACATTTGTTGCCTCCTTTGCCTGTTGTGAGCATTTTTCCATTGCCTCAATCCCTGTCCCACTGCTGATGGCCGGTTTGGGGTGACAAATCCCCCTGGTTGGAGGGTGGCATTCCCAAAACCTGGGAAGAGGTGAGTTTCCATGGCTTGGGCTGCTGGGAAGGGAGTGGTGTCATCTCCATCCTCGAGGATATTGGGAAGGGCTGGGATTCCACAGACACCCTGGCACAGTTGGATCTCCTCCCTCCAGGTCTGTGGTGTGGGTGGAGGCACAGGGATTTGTCATTCCTTTATTTTTTTTGGAGGAAAGGATCTCCTGCCTCCATTTCCCCAGCCCCAGCTCCGAGGTTTCGCCTGTCTCATGCCCTTGGATGGATTTTGGGATTCTGGCTGCCCTGTGCCTGGGAATGCAGTGGCTGCCTTGGTCAGGGCTGATCCTGGCTCTCCCTGAACCCCAAAACTTGGGGGTGCACCTGCCCACCTCGGGGCTTCTCCTGGGATCCACTCTTTTGGGATGCCAGGGGAAGCAGCAGGGCCTGAATTTGGGTGGATTCCCTTCTTTCCCTAATTACAGGGCTGCTGCACCCATGGCCCTGCTGGGCTGGGAGTTGGGGTGGAAATGGGGATCCCCCCCAATCCAGAGGGACGAGGATGGCCATGGAAGAGCCCCTTTTCCAGCTGCCTGGACTACAGATCCCCCATCCCCAGCAGCCCCCCGTGCTTTCCCCATTCCTTCATCTCCCTGGAACTCTGCTTTGCCCTTTCCAGTGGTTTCCAGCTGTTCCCTTTGGCTCCCTCTCTTCCCTACATTCCCTGTCCATGGATTCTCCTGGTTCCCCCCATCTCTGATCAGGGAACCACCCCACAAATCATGGGATGCACCCAGTGCAGGGAGGATGATATTCCCATTCCGTGTGGGAATGCCCAGCCACAGCCCCTCCATCCCGATTTCCAGACCCAGGAGTGCTCAGAGGATCCCCAAAATTCCCTCAGCACCCACATTCCAAGGTTTGGGTGCTGTAAGAGTGGCCTTGAGGTATTCCAAAGATGAACAGGGTGCTGTTGGAGTCCCTGATATCCTGGAATAATTCCTGGTGTTTCAAAACTGGTGTTTCACAGATGGAATAGAAGCATTCCAAGAAACTGCTGTAAAATCCTTGTTTTTCCCTGTGCAGTTCTCCCAGATGCTTGGAACCAGTCAGGGAATATTGTGGCCAGGGAAATACAGGCTCCTCTAGCCCAAGTTTTCCACCAGAACCCTGTTCCCCTGCCAAATTCCCCCCTGGAATGTGGGGTGTGGATTTGGGTCCCCTCAGGTGGTGTCACCTCCCGCCCCTGCCAAACTCTGGGCATGTTGGGGCATTAAACGGAGGAGCTTTTTTTGGGATTCTTTGGCTGTGTCTCCTCCCCACAGGGGGAGGAAGCAGCGGGGCAGATTGATGGGATGATGCCGGGGTCAGGAATGCGGGGTGGGGAGGTTCCACACTGGAATCCCATCAGCTTGGGAGACACCCATTAGTGCTGTCATCATCCGCCTGGGTAAACTGAGGCACCGGGAAATGCTTTGCCGGTGTCCCAGCGGAAATCCGGAGCCGTGACTCCTGCTCCGGGGCCTGGCCAGCTGCCACATTCCCGCCTGGATTGAGCGGGATTGCCGTGAGCAAACCCCATATTCTGTGGGGTGCTGCCCCGAGCCCGGTGGGGACAGGAAACAGGGGAATAAAGGGGTGTCAGAGTGCATGGGGAACAAGGGAGATGCTGGGAATAGCGGGAGCCATGGGGAATTGTGGAAAAACAGTGGAAATGGGGGAGCCGTGGGGAATTGCAAGGCCTTGACATAGGTGCGCCCCATGAGGTAGTTCCCTGGCCGTGGTGGGAACGGGCAGAATGGAAATGGGGGAATAAGAGGAGTGTCAGGATCCGTGGGGAACGGGGAGGACGCAGGGAATAGCGGGAAACGTTGGAAAGGGAGGAACTGGAGCTTGCGGCCCCAGCGGGGCCTCGAACCCGCGGCCCAACCATCTCTCCTCCTCCGCCTCCCCCCTAGAACTACAACTCCCGGCGTGCCTCGGGGCCGGCGGAGCGTTGAGGGCGCGGCCAATGGTAGAGCCGCGGGGCGGTGACGTCACCGCGGGTGACGTCAGGGGTCCAGAGAGAGGCTGGGGCAGAGGCGGCCGGAGCGGCTGAGGGAGCGCGAGCGGCGCGGGGGGGCCCTGTCGGCGACAGCGGCGACAGCGACGACAGCAGCGGCGACAGCGACAGCGGCGGGTTCCAGCGCCTCGCGGCCCGGCGTTTCCCCGCTCCCCTCGGCGCCGGGTGGCCCCGGCCCGCGGCGGCGGCGCTGACAGCCCGCCCGGAGCCCCGGGGGCGGCCGCGGCCACCATGTCGTCCCCCAGCCCGGGCAAGAGGCGGATGGACACCGACGTGGTCAAGCTGTATCCTTGCCGTGCCCCCTCCCCGGGCCCACGGGGGATTCCTCCCCCCCCGCCACGGCCGGGCCTCCGGGTGGCCCCGGCCCGCGGCGGCGGCGCTGACAGCCCGCCCGGAGCCCCGGGGGCGGCCGCGGCCACCATGTCGTCCCCCAGCCCGGGCAAGAGGCGGATGGACACCGACGTGGTCAAGCTGTATCCTTGCCGGGCCCCCTCCCCGGGCCCACGGGGGATTCCTCCCCCCCCGCCACGCCCGGGCCTGCAGAGGGGTGGGAGGGCGGGGGGCACCGGGGGCCCCCGCCGGGGTCGCCCCCCAAACCCCCCCATTCGCAGCCCCGCGGCCTCTCCCCGGAGCTGGGGGTCGGGTCTGCCCTCCGTCTCTCACCAGGGGAGGCCTAACCCCCCCTTCTGCCGTATTTTGGGGGGTTTAGCCCCCTGTGTGGCTCGACAGGCGGCCCTGGGGGTGTCTCTGCAGACCCCCCTCGGTGATGCCCCCCCAATCTGGGTGCCCCGCACCCCCCCTTGCCTGCCCTGGGGAGGGCGAGGAAGGGGAGAGCAGTTCCAGCAGCCACAGCCCAAAGAAAGGCTTTTGTGGGGTTTATTATTATTATTTATTCCCCCATTTCACCCTGCAGTTCATGAAGCTTCTGGTGCTGGCTTAGGGATTTGATTTTTTGGGGAGGACGGGGGGGTCCCTCGGGGTCTGGCTCAGCAGACCCAGGGGTGGGTGAAGGGCATCAGGGCCCGAGCCCGTCTCCCAAGAGGTTTATGTAACCCTCCAGGTTTGGTTAGGCTTTATTACTTTTTATTTTTCCCCTTCTTCCTACATGGATCTGTTTATATTTTTCCTCCTTGTTTTTATTCCTGGCCCTTTACGGGGCGGCGAATCCCTTTTTCTCTGTGTCTGGAGAGTGGGTGGCGTTGAAAAATACCGTTGGGAATTCGGTTCTGGGATTGTTTTATTAATAGTTTTTGTTTACAAGGTGGCGGTGCGAGCCGGGAAAGGGTAGCAATGACAAGAGTGGATGAAATGTTTCTCGGATCTGCCTCCTGAACGTGCCCGACCTCCCTGAGCAGGACTCGGGGCTGCTGCCTCTGCCCTGCTGCTGTCGAGGGGTCGAGAAACGGGTCTGATTTAGTTCCCAGAGAGAGATAAACAAACTTATCTGGATTTGGTGGTGTTTTTTTGGAAGGGGGGGGAGGGAGGAGCAGCAGCAGCAGCGCTCCTGTTTGTGGCTTATCGAAGGAAACTTGTCTGACGTTCGCGCAGCGCCTTTCTCCCCACAAAGCTGCTCTCGGTGTGTTTTTCGCCCTGTTTTTAAGCAAATAGGAAACGAGTCCTGATGGTGCTCGAATCGGAGCTATTTTTATCCGGGGGTTTAAAGTTACACACATGTCAGACTCCGCCAATTGCGATCGATGCTGAATCGCACCGGGAGGAGGGTCGGGAATTCCAGCTGTTTAGCCAGGGGGGAAAACCTTTCTTAGGGATACCCTGGAAAGAGCTCTGGGCCGGAGAGGGGCCGAGGCCCAACTGATCGGCTGCTGCTCTGTTTCCCTTTCCCCTCCCCCTCTCTTTTCCTTTTTTTTTCCCCCCCTTTTTGTTCGGTTCCTTGCCGGCTTCTCCAGCGATCGCAGCATTTTGGAGGACAAAGAGCAGGTTTTCCCTGCGAAGTGGCTTTGCTGTGTGTTTCTAGGAGCTGGGTAGGTAGAAAGCCCCGAATGTCTGGGATTCCTCTCGGTGCTGGGCAGTTTGTGCCCTGCCCTTTCTGCCCCCTGACAAAGGAACCCCGATGGCTTTTCCAAAAGCAAAGCTCTCGTTGTCGGCTCTGCTTTCCTTGTTTTCCAAGGGGTGAGGGTTAGAGCAGTCGGTCTCCTGCGGACAACAAACTTAGGAAGTTGGATGTGTCAGATGACTCCTCAGCACTCCTCCCTCCCTCGCTCCCTCCCTCCCTCCCTCCCCAGCCTTTTTTGTTTGTCTGCCTGACTCGCCCGGGGTGAGCAGCTCACTAGGCCCCGGCTCCCGAGACGCTTCCCTGGGGAATCTCCCCCTCTGGAAGCTGATCTGAAATCAGGGTCTCCTTTGAGACACATCGAGGAGGGTCTCGGTGGTGGCCAGAGAAGGGACTGGTCTGAAGGAATGTGCTTGAGGGCATCTCCTCCTGGAGCTTTCAGGGTTTTGTTGCTGTGGATGGTTTTTGTTTGGGGTTTTTTTTACCCTCCCTTTTTGCTGCCATTTTCATTACAGTTTCCCTTTTCATCCCCTTTCCACGTCTCCAACAGTGAATAATAGTGTGAATTTATGGCCTGCCAAGGGCTACCTTTCCCAGTAGGGAGGGGGCACGGCGCAGGGTGAATAACACTCCTGCCTCCTCCTGCTCTGACAGGTTTAGGAGCCGAGCGAGGTCTTTTTATGATTCCTATTTTCAATCCTGCCACGTCCGTGTCCTTTTGTGGATGCCTCTTTGTGAGGAGGGAAGGGGAGAGGTGGCTGCTCTCCGTGGGGCTGCAGGAAGGGCAGAGCTCTGTGTGGAACTGATGTTTAATCATCTCCTGGACCAGGATGTGCTCGAACTCCCCGTCACTCATTGTCTCCCTCCAGACCGGGTTTGTGGTGCTGAGGCTGGGGAAAGAGAGCCAGAATCCCTGCTCCCCTTTTTGGGGGGCTCCAGCCAGAGTTTCCTGGGTAACTTGTGACCCTTCAGAGCAGGAAGGCTCGTGCTCCCCAAAACACCTCCTGACCCGCTCACCAGTGACCTGGAAGCGTAGGGTTCTCTCACTGGGAAGCCCCTGGGCTCCAAGCCAGGCCTCTCCAGGTAGCTCCCACCCTGGGGACAGCAGAACAGGGGCTCCCCTTTGTGGTTCCCCCTATGTTTGGGGCGAGTGCCAGCCTGGGAGCTGGAGTGTTTGCAGGGAGAAGGCCTCGAGCTCTCGCAACTCCGCGGATTGGCTGCTCTGTTACTACCCGGAAACCGGGCCCGGGGCGGAGCGAGGCTGCAGCTGAAGGGGTGCCCCTGCCAGGGTGTTTACACCCATGGGGGGACCCACCCCGGCACCCCCATCCCCCCCAAACCCCGCGGGGTGTTCCCGTTCCAGCCCCGGGGTTTATTGTTCCGCGGCGCTCGCGGCTTCCCCTTGGCCGGGAGTTTATTTAGTGCTGATTTATTTTCCTCCTTTTGTGGAGAAACGTTGCTGGCTGGCTTGTAGTCCCCGAGCTCTATTTTTAAGCGTCAGAGCTGGAAAAGGGAAGTGTCACCCTGTTTTGTGCCTGAAAGGAATTATAAATAGTGGCCAGCTTTGTTTGAATCTCCCCGTGCTGCCCAGTTTGCAGAGCCGGGGGTTTGGGAGCGTAACTCACGGAGCGTTGCACTCCCTGCTAATTTTAGGCTCGTCCCGAGTCAAGGAGAATAAAGGTACAAAGCTCCTTAGTTTACCTGCAGAGCGTTTTGTAATCTCAAAACTCCCCCACCCGTGTTTGCTCCGTGGAGGCAAAGGGTAGGACAGAGTTTACATTTGGGATAAATTCCTTTTTCTGGTCATTATAGGCTTACACCGCACTTATCATCCCACTTGAACACCTTCCAAGAGCGGCGTTGAGCAATGGCAGGGTCACGTGCCTTTGTTCTCTTTGGCCTGTCCCCAGGGAAGAGCGTGTGCACTGGAATGTCTTGTTTTGGTAGGCTTTGGTGGGGCTTTGTTGTTCTGTTGGGGTTTTTTCTTTTAAAGGACGGATATTTCTGGAAACTTTGAATGTAAATTTTCAAATGTCACGCTACGCTTGTTTCTGCTCCACTTCTGGGGCTCTGTTTTAATGAGGTCTCTGGGGATGAGGGGAATCGTGTGGTGATGCTTCAAAATGCACAAAGACGTGGCAGCAGCCCCTTCCCAGAACTGGGGGAGCCCCCCTTTTTCCCAGCAGTGCTGTCACAGGTGGTGGTTTATAAATCAAATCAGGTAAATGTGGCTTGGGAGGTGGTGCCTGTCTTTAGGAGAACTCGAAATCCATAAATCCCTGCCTAAACCAAACCAACTGGAGGAAAATAAATAATCTTTGTTGCCTAAATGACAACTTCCAAGGGTATCATCTTGCTGCTTTTAGAGCAGAATTTGGAGTCTTTGCTGGTGGCTGGATGTTTTTTTTTTCCCTGAGAAATTGGCTGGAGCTGCCAGTTCACTCTCCCTTTGTTGCTTTGTCAGTTGGATTGGGGAGGATTTGGGAGCTGGGGCTCCTCGAGCAGGCCTGAAAGCCAAGTGCACTTGTTTAATCATGGAATTGCCACAATCATGGAGTTCAAACTGGAAAATATGGATTTGGTTAGGGCTGCTTGGAGCAGAGTGCCTGTTGGAGCCTGACATCCCAGCCCTGCTTAAAATAATAAAAAATGGGGGTAGTTTTAATTATTTCCCCTTCTCGTTCCCTAGACTCGGAGCAGAGTTTTTGGAATACTGAGTAGTCTGGCTGGATGATGCTTCCCAGATTCCCACTTCTGAAGTGGCATTAGGGCACTAAATGCTGATGAAACAAATTCTAGAGGCCTTTTCTTTGTTGTAACAGTTTAAAAACCCCAAAAGTGAACACGGGATTTCAGGAAAACAAACATTCCCTGTAAAATGGTCTCCTTGCTGTCCCCTCCCCTGGGTCCAGGAGGTTGTGCCAGCTGCTTTTCCTGGCTTTCCTAGGGAAGCTGTGCTTGGGTGTGTAGTAGGGGATTGTTTTTAGGTGTCACCACGACTATTTTGCAGTCCTGGTGAGTTTTTGGAAACATCTCCCGGCGTGACTCCCACGTGCTCTCATTTCTCAGCAGCAGGAGCTGATAATGGGAGCTGGGAGCTGAGCTCCCAGTCCTGCAGACCCTGCCAGGTCCCAATATTTTGGATGAAGCAGGAGATGCCCCTCCATGAGGCCCTGCATTGTTTCATTTGCCAGGGGAAAATTACATTTCATCTTCACAGGAGTGTTCTGTCCCGGTTCTGCTCATCGTCGTGTGCTGGCATTAAATGATGATTGGCTTTTTTTAATGTTTTGGGGGTTTTTAAATTAACTTCTCCTTCAAACTCACTCTTAATTCCTATCCTGCCCTGTTCCTGAGGAGCAGACAGCCTGGAAGCTGAGGGAGTAAATCCTGGAGTGCCTCCTTGGGAGCTCACAGCTGGATCACTGCAGGAGATCATTCCTTGGAGGCTCCAGCTTTGCT